AAAAAAAAAAAAAGGCTATAAACAAATTAAAACTTAAAAGCCGCTTGAGATTACACACGCATTGGGAAATAAATCCCATTCCCCCACTGTACAAAGTACTCCAACTATGCATATACAATAGAGCTCCAATCTTCTCTGTGAGGTACCGAATATCGAGCATTTATCCATGGATTTCAAGGAACTTCACTTTACCCGAGTCAGAAGTTACACTTTCAGCTCGGTTGAAAAAGTTGGTTTTGTTACTGTTCGACTTGTTCTCGGGAATCTTGACCATTATTGTCCTTGTCCTTGGATAGGCACCTGATCGGGACATAAACGAATCCCTTTGGAAGCCGTTGATTTTTCATGGATGCTTGATCGGACGTCATTGAAAGCTCCTTTTCGAAGGTTTCCACGTGCTGCGACAAAAAAAAAAAATTGCGAATCAAAATGTTATTTCCACATATGGTAAAAGTACGAGAACTCGTACCAATGCAACACTCTTATTAAAGAAAGTGTAAGATTTTCTTAATTGAATAAAAGTTTAACCATCAGGAGCAGTTTCATGTAATTCCAAAATGTATCACATTCAGATAATCACAAAATACGCAGATGGCTCAATATTTCAGAAACAAGGGGGGGTAATAGCAAATATTTTATCATAAATGTGAAGGGGTTTGTTACAATGTGCTTGGTTTGTGCAAGGGTAGATTTAAGAAAAAAATAAATAAATAATCAGGGGCACCTTTCTATTACACATAAGTTTGATGGGTTCTTTTGCAACCAAAGCCAAACCCAGGGGTATTATTGTAATTAACCTTAGACAATCGTAAAACTTACTTTTCTTTGTTTTTTTCGTTTATCAGCATTGTCTGAAGGGTTCCGTGATGCGGCCGAAAGTCGTTTGGGGATTTGCTTCCCAGAAAACGATTTTCTCTCCACGGGTTTTAGCATGTAAAGGTTTTGGGATGTGGAGCTATCGTCCGTTTTCTGATCGTTGTTGTCTACTGACAAATGAATTTTAATGCGTCTTTTACCGGCAACTTTGCTATCAACTGTCCCATCATCCGAACGTTGCACCAACGCACTACCCGATTTACAGCCATCAGTATGACCTTTGATAGAGGTTGTGGCCGATCCGGAACTGACTTCAGGCTGGTAAAATGGGTGACGGGCCAAAGCAGAAATAACAGAGTCTCGGTTTGAAGCAAGGATGTCGTGCGAGCAAATGACTAACTCACGCTGCAGTGTACAAAGACGAATAAATTATTTATTGTACAGATTTGCACTAACCAATAAAGGAGGAGTTCAACTTGTAATCTAATGACTGTAGAAGAAAGCTATAGTAGTCTAAATAAAAATATGAGGGTTAATTATGAAAAATACAATTAAGGTATGGTCTAATACAATGAGAGGTGTCATCCCGAAAATATAATTTTTTTTTTTTTTCAATGTTACAAAGTTGCTGCCATGAGAGGATATTTTCACTCTTTCACAAGACATTTTGTATTTTCCTTTTCTTTCTTCTTTTGTGGTTGTAATTGGGTTGAAACTCTATTCATATATTTATCAATAAAAATAAAGAAAAGGAAGGAATTGAATTGCATGATCAGCCTAACAGGTAAGGGTGCAGCATATATAATTGAGGAAAAAAACATAAATGAAGAATCTCGAAATAGTCGGCTTACTTTTAATTTCTCCCTTTTGATAATCCTTTCACATAGAAGACGCAGTCTCTCCAGTTCAACCTAAGTGAACCATTAATCAGACACTTGAACTCGGACATTCGAATAATGAGAAAAGCAAATATTGGTGAAGCGAACAACCATTACTCAAACACAAAAACCATTACTCAAAAAAACTATTTTACTTCTACATTCAATTAAGTGCACTTTAACATACCATAGACAGAACCACTACCACATGCACAATGAGAACAGTATATTGCAAAACATACTAGTTATAACAGCATTTGATTCCGATATTGAACGTGCGTGTTAAACAGCAGGATATGAAATCCAGGCAGTCCGCAAAGATACACAGTAGTTATAAGTACTCAACATTTTGAATCACCAAAACCCAATCAGTCATGTAAATTGTCCATACATCGGGATGAAAATAATAGTTAATTTCAGTATAAAAAAGAAGGTTCCTCAAATAGCTTATTGCATATTAATTTACTCGAGAATAATTCGACACAAAAAAGCAACACCACTATTTTTACTCCTTTTGATTTCCACCAGACCTAAGTAGTAAGAAATTGAAAATTAATACTCCCTCTTATTCTTTTTATTTGTCATTTTTCTTTATTGGTCATTAATCAAATAAATGACGTTTTGGATCTTTTATACGTATTTTTCCATTGTTACCCTCATTTGATTAAATACACTACACATTTTGGGAGGAAAGTTGTGGAAAGCGATGAGTTTTTTTCTTAAAAGAACGTAAAGAACTGAAAAGAAAGAAATTAATTAATGTTAATTTGCTTTAAATAAGGCTAATAATGGCAAGAAAAAAAATTCACAATTTATGTGTTAAAGCACAGAACGACATTTAAAAAGAATAGGAGGGAATAACAGATATTACTTACCCTGACTTGCTTAAGAGACTTGAACTCCTCAATCCCATGCTTCTGAGCATCGGCCTGAAGAAATGGATAACGACAAAATTAATGTGAAGGTATAAGCGAATATTGATATATTGTTACAGGAGCCAAAACTTATAGAAACCTTTGCCCTTTGATCTGTGCTATGCTTTTCACAGTAAGCCTTATGTTGCAACTTGCCACCATTGGTCCTAACAGTCATGAAGAAACCGGCATTTCTAGCACAAGTAGGGTGAAATGTTGTCTGACAATGACCATAGCTACACTGTAGATAGCACAATAACAGAACAATGAACGATGAAGAAAAATCCATCGAACAAGAAGTTTAGCAAAATCACAAATCTCGTGATCTTCACCTTGAGGCAAACACCATGTTTGAGACAGCACACATTGCAAACATCAGCTCCTTTGGAGACAGTATCCTGGAAGAGATTATACATTGCATATTAAAATTTGTATACGCACACAAAGACCCACAAAAAAGATACGAGGGAATGAAAAAGAAACTCACCAATCCTGCAACAGGATTTACTTGCCCCCTTTTATATGTTGATTCTAACACCCACTACATTGAGATGAAAATGATAACACATGAGCTTTCCAGAGAATCAACTGGAACAATCCAGGTAGCAACAACGAGCAGAACAAATAAGAGAGAGAAAGAGATATATATATATATATATAGAGAGAGAGAGAGAGATTATTTACTTCAGCACATAAAGCGTGCACCCATTGACCATTCACTGACTTCCTAAAAGCCCCTGTTGTGCCCCCACACAAACGACATTCTGCAACAGAGTAAGGCTTCTCCCGAGAATTTGCATCCAGTGCTCCAGAACATCGAGAAGAAAGTTGGTCATCACAAAATTCACAATGCCAGGGCCCTGTGGTGCTTTTAACACTACGGTAACAGTCCAAGTGAACAGCAATCTGAGATCAAACGACGAAAGAAAGGAATACCCAAAAAGGTGCAAGTTAGTAAATTGAACGTTTGGAAACAAGCTATAAAGATTTTAAAAGAACACAACTGGAGAAACCTTGCAACTTGAACAGACTAAAACTGGATTCAGAACTGTCTCAGACCGTCTGCATATGTCACATGTCCGAAGACGATCTTTTGGATTGTCTGAAGCTAATTGGCCTGAATCGGTATTCTTGTCAAGTGAAGACCTTGCAATACCCAGCCTAGTAACAGTCTCTTTCACTCGAGGATTCAGCTGAGACTGCAACCCATTCCTCACATTAGATACATTCATCTTCACAGTATCCTGAAGAAACAATATAGAATATATAAATAAATGAACTTGCAAAAAAATGGAAGGGGAATAAATTTATAAACAGTGAAAACACTTGGCCAATATAACCTCCTGCTGTAAAGAATCTTCTGGGGTATCTTTCCTAATCGATGACAACCTAGAGGAAGCTGCTGCAGCAGCAGTAGCAGCAGCCAACACAGCTTGAGCTTCCTTATGCCGGCGCTCTTTTCTGCCTTGCTTTCTAGCTTCCTTAAGTTCACGATGGTACTGGTTAACAAGTACAGC